CTATGTCTTCACCACCTGGCGCTCGGGGTCGTCCTTCTTCGGGGAGCTCTTCAACCAGAACCCCGAGGTCTTCTTCCTCTACGAGCCGGTGTGGCACGTCTGGCAGAAGCTGTACCCCGGGGACGCTGTGTCGCTGCAAGGGGCGGCCCGCGACATGCTGAGTTCCCTGTACCGCTGCGACCTCTCCGTCTTCCAGCTCTACAGCACGGCGGGTGCCGGCAAGAACCTCACTACGCTGGGCATCTTCGGGGCAGCCACCAACAAGGTCATCTGCTCCTCGCCTCTCTGCCCGGCCTACCGCAAGGAGGTGGTGGGCATGGTGGATGACCGGGTGTGCAAGAAGTGCCCCCCGCAGCGCCTCAGCCGCTTCCAGGAGGAGTGCCACAAGTATCGCACGCTGGTCATCAAGGGTGTCCGTGTCTTCGACCTTGCTGTCCTCGCCCCACTCATGCGGGACCCGACCCTGGACCTCAAAGTCATCCACCTGGTGCGGGACCCCCGGGCCGTTGCCAGCTCCCGCATCAAGTCCCGGCACGGCCTCATCCGGGAGAGCCTGCAGGTGGTGAGGAGCAGGGACCCCCGCATCCACCGCATGCCCTTCCTTGATGCTGGCCACAAGCTGGGTGGAAAGAAGGAGGGGGGGGGTGGCTCGGACTACCATGCCCTGGGTGCCATGGAGGTCATCTGCAGCAGCATGGCCAAGACCCTGCAGACTGCCCTGCACCCCCCTGACTGGTTGCAGGGCAACTACATGGCCGTGCGCTACGAGGACCTGGTGGTGGAGCCCATCAAGACCCTGCGGCAAGTGTATGGCTTTGTCAACCTCGTGGTTAGCCCAGAGATGGAGAAGTTTGCCCTTAACATGACCAGTGGCCCCGGCTACTCCTCCAAGCCCTTCGTGGTGTCGGCCAGGAATGCTACCCAGGCACTGAGTGCCTGGAGGACTGCACTCAGCTACCAGCAGATCAAGCAGGTCGAGGAGTATTGCCACCAGCCCATGGCCCTGCTGGGCTACGAGAGGGTCGGCAGCCCCGAAGACGTGAAGGACCTCAGCAGAACGTTGCTCAGGAAGCCTCAGCTGTGACGGGGCAGCAGGTGCCTGCCGACTGGCCTCTGGGGTGGCTGGCCCCACCAGGGAGAGGAGCTGCTCTGCCTGGCTTGAGGGAGGGAGCCAGGAAAAGCAACCTGGTTTCCGAATTCCTCCAAAGACTGCTGAAGGGTAACATACAGTAATGTGATATTTTATTTTTTTTTAATTTTTAATATCACTCCCTTGCATTGGGTTAGGATTAAAATACTTCAATAAATAAAGTGGAACTGAAATTCGTATAAAGCCCCTTCCTCCTTCTCTGAAATGCCAGATACTGATTCTGTACCAAAATCTTGGTTATGGAGTTCTTGTGGGTTTGAAGATCGTAACAAAAACTCTTGCACAATTGCTAAGGCAACTTTATATCCCTTGTTGCGGAGGGGATGCCCTTGGAAAGCATAATGCTGAAAACCAGACTTTTGTATGAAAGCAGATGTTCAGACATGATAGTAATAAAACAATAAATGATATTCATTTTTATAATTACCTCAATTGTTTGGGAATTACAGTGTTGCTTATGTACAGCTGGAGGGGATGTCTGCTTAAAATTAGCAACATGGACTTTTTTGATGGTATGGGTGGAGGGCTGGAGTGCAACATTTTACATATTGAAAGATTAGAAACAAGTACAGATCCCACAAATGTAGTGCAGGTTTTATGGCTATGTCAAAGCAGCTATCTATTTAAGTATTGTCTTTTTTTGGGTTGTATTTAAAAAGTCTTTCAAGTGCCACTGTATTAGTGTCTTAAGAGTTTTAAAATGTTTGCCATCGCAGCAGTATTTATTTTTGTCATGATGTGTATGTCCAGGAGTCACTGTCAAATAGAAGTGGATCTACAGCGTGACAAGAAGTGCAGGATTTAAAAAGACATTTAACATACTGGAAACATTAGCATGTGTGAAAACAAAAATAGAATTTTATATATATATTATATAGTGCTAACAGTACGTATTTAAGATATTTCTTGACATTGGTTGGTAACAGGCATAACAGGGAAATACAGAAAAATGCATAACATGATTTTTCCCCTTTGTCTAAGTGTCCAAGAGTATATTTATGAATGAGGAGGGAGGAAACATACAGCTGCACGTTCGTAACTAAAATGGAACTTTTATGGAGTCACCTTTGTGTTTGATTTCAAAGCACTGGTTAGATATGCATTTGTTGTGAATTGTCATTGCTCTAGGAGGGAGCCAGATGGTGGTCTGGCTCTTTCTGGGAGCCTTGCCTATAGACTCAGTCCCATTTCTAAACCTTGATTAAAAAAAATTAAAAATAATAATAATAATTAAAAAAATACTACTTTGGCTTTTCGAATTTCCTGAAAAAGTTACGGTTTATTAAAGGTTAAGTGGTGCATTGTATATGAGAAGTGGAGACACCTCAAGTAGTTTTTAATCTTGGCGGTGTTCTCTGATGTTCTTTGAAGGCTCATTTTGGAACTTGAGTTTTTAAACAGAAGTAATTTTGCCAAACTGTTTGTTTAGGAGACTACAGACTTTTCTACAGGAAGTACATTTTACATTGCCTATCTGGGTGTTGTGCCTTCAGCAAATGTGAAGAGTATGAGTAGGAAAACGGAAACTGCTTTGTGAAAATAAATGGCTATAAACAGGATGCTGATAAGTGTGTGTGTGTGTGAAAATTTTAGTGATGTGTAAAACGTGTATTTATTGTATCAGTACTTTTAAGTTAAACAGCTGGTAACTGGCTACTAAGGTATTTGAATTCTTGATGAAATTTTGGCTTTAGATGTTGAACTTGCTCTGAAAAGGAAACACATTTAATAAACTAGTTAAAATATTATTGCATAAGGTTGCCTATACACTTGCTGAGTGACTGCATGACACGTGTCTGTTCCCTCAGTTCATCTTCACCATCAGTATAAGCAGCATAAATAATATTTATCAATGGGAGATAAATAATTGGCCTGTTAGGATGTATTCCCAAATTCCAGACAGCGGTTCTGAAATGGGAGGGTTAGTTAATTTGGTATTTAAAAATACAGATTAAGGTACTTGTGTTGTGGAATGAGGTGTTCTGTGTTACTGCTGTACACACTCTGATGCGGTGCTGAGTGGATTTTGAATGCCTGGGTTTGGGCTGTATCCCGTGTGTTGTTTGGGTTTTTTGTTTGTTTTGGATTGGTTTTGTTTGTTTGGGATTTTTTCCCCCAGTTGACTTGTCCTGGGGCAGTGCTTGAAAATCTGATCTGCCTGTAAAGCCTGTCGCTCGCTTTTTATCCGGCCACGTCTTGATGAACAAGCCTGCTCTGCCCCCCGCGCGGTCCTGCCCGTGTGCCCGGGGAGCAGCCGCGCTGGTATTGGGTGTTTGCCGGCGCTGCTGCCCCCGG